CCCAGGAGCTGCTCCTGAGCAAGGACTGGGAGATGTGGGTGTTGCCACCGGCACGCAGGAGCCATTTCAAGCCACTTCAGGAGGATTTTGGAAGCCTGTGTTGTAAATCAGGCCACCCGCTCTGTCTGCATCCCACCAGGAAACAAAAGATGAGGGCTCAGGTTTTTTCCTGCCTCCCATGACTAGTTGTGTCCCGCCTCCCTGCAGCCCATACCCTGGCTAGGGCTGAGCTCTGTGCCCTGCCACTTGTGAACCGTGCAAGAGATGTCACCTGCATGGAAGACAAAGTCCTCCAGACCACCCATCCACCAGGATGGAGATGGCTGTATGGACCACACAAAGGTGGTGCTACTGTTGCTCCAGGGAAGTTTCCAGGACAGTCAGGGAAAACCCCAGTGGCTGAGTTTCACTCCCACAGCTCTCTGCGAGGGTGAAACTCTTGAATTTGCTGCTGTTTCCCCTGACTCAGACCTGGGAGAGTGAGGAGGGAATCAAGCTCCAAGTCTTCAGATGAGACAGGCTCAAGAGCAAATGGGCAGGTTCCCACTCTCCTGACAACGAAGTCACAGCATAAAATCACTCTTTAATATGAGAAATATTTATGAAACTGGAAGGCCGTGGTGGTCTCCTGGCCATGGACACAGAATGACCTCCTCCAAACTCTCCCCTTCTGCACTTCGTGTTCCTCTCTCCTAGTTTTCTTTGGTGCAGCGGGGGCATGTCATTGACTCGGCCTGTGACTTTCTTTTTAATGCCAGAACATCTCCATCACCTCATACTCTACCTCTGGGGTGTTTTTATGCTGCCTAACTCCAGAAGTCCATGAAACCATGTCTGTCTTGGAGCTGAGCTCTTGTTAATAGTCGGTGGGGATAAAAAAGGGTTTGGGGCATGGCTCCCATTTGCTTTGGGTGATGTGAATGGTATATTCAAAGCTCTTCTCTCTCCAGACCTCGCAGTTGGGCCAGCACCTCACAGAGATCTGCCTGTGGTCTGCTGGACCCCAGAGAGCAAAACCTCAACCGTCCCTGCTGCATTTCACAGGACAATCCTTTTTTCTTGCAGATGGCTCCCATGAGAAGTCCACGGAAGAGGAACCCCTGCAGTTAAACAGAGGTGTTGTACGTGATGTTTGCATTTTAAACCTCAGATTATCGCTTCTAGCACAGCCCCATTAAACAGCTCCAGGAAAGCCATTTGCCCTTGGCCATAGTCTTCTACAAAAAAAAAAAAAAGACCCACAGCAGCTCTAGGAGCAGTCAGTTCCTTGGACAGCAGAACCACGGGCACCTGGTTTGCAGATGAATCATGTCTGGGAGTTGACTTTAGGTGAGGGCTCTCAGCATAGGCTGAGACCTCAGACCATCAGGGAACGACTCTTGTCCTCTCCTCTGAGGCATCTCTGATGTCTTTGGAATAGCAAAAGACCTGTGGGAACTGGAAATCTTGGGCACTTTCTCCTGTTGGCCAACTTGGCTGAGGTTGGCCAGTAGATAAAGACATTGTACAATGGTTTGGGTTGGCAGGGACCTTGAAGCCCACCCAGCCCCACCCCCTGCCATGGGCAGGGACACCTTCCACTAGACCAGGTTGCTCCAAGCCTCATCCAGCCTGGCCTTGGACACTTCCAGGAATGGGGCATCCACAGCTTCTCTGGGCAACCTGTCCCAGTGCTCCCCACCCTCTGCGGGAAGAATTCCTTCCTGATATCTAATCTAAATCTAACCTCTTTCAATTTAAACCCATTGCCCCTTGTCCTATCATGGACAGAGCAGATTCAGAGGTGACGAACATGACCCTCACCTATAGAGTCAGAGGGCCCAAATCTTTCTTTGAGGTGTTTTTTTGTGCTTCAGGAGCTGGTGTCTCCTCTCCACCCTGGGCTCAAAGGTGTTCTACCTCCCAGTCGTAGCTCCCACAGAGCAGCCAGCACTGGAGCTGGCCACCAGCATGTCTTCCCCAGGCTGTTTATATCGGCAGCCCCAGCGAGGAAAAAGTGACTTCTTGGCTGACGAGGGTGGATTCACGGTGACATTTCAGAGCTGGGCAGCCCATGCCAGGTCTGTGGGATTAGGTCACTTACAGCTCCTGGCCCTACCCTTTTCCATACTGCTGGGTGAAATGCCAGGTCACACCTCCACCACCTATAAAACCTCCAAAATAGACACAAGGGGACCCTTTGTGCTGCATGTCTTGTCCCAGCAGTTTGCTCCTGGAAGCCCAGGATGCTCCCCAGGATTTCAGTCCTACTGGCTGGCAGCCCCACATCAATGGTCCTGGTGCCAGCCAGGTGAGAGAGCAGGATATGACCCATCCTTACCTCTCTGATCCTGATTGGGTTGCAGGAATACTGGTCCTCAGTTTCCCAGCAGGCATCTGGAAAAGACCAGCCCATTTTTCTGCCTACGTTAGAGATGTAGGACCTCACCTGAGGGCGTTGGGTTGAGCGTGGGATGAGAAGAGAGCTGCCCAAATGAGGGAGACCCACACGCAACGTAGGGAGGACATCAGTGTGGGGCACTGACACAAACTGCTCAGCAGCCTCAGGTGGGCACTGAGATGGCTTGTGGAACATTGCTTATCCCTGTGGTCTCTAGACCTTCTACTCCTGACACTGCATGACTTTTTCCAGCTTGCTTTGGAGTGAGAACAACCCAACTGCTTGGGTCTGAGTCCCCGTCTTCTCTCTCGCTGCTTACAGAGGCACTCGCAAGACCAGTGCTTGGGGGAAGCAATGGGCCGGAAGCCACCTGGATCCACCGTGTCCACTGTTCTCACTTCTTCCCTGGAGTTCATTCCCAGGAGCTTCAAACCCAAGGGAGGAGGTAGCACCACCGTGAAGATCGTCTTGAAAGAGAAGCACAAGAAAGGTAAGGAATGGAGGGGCCGGGCAATCGGTATGAGGCCTAGGGTAACTTCTCCAGGACTTTGAATTCTCTAGAACCTTGAATTCTCCAGGGAATCTGTTTCAGCAGCAGGTTTTCGTCACCAAGTCCTACTTCCCACTCCTCCACATCCAGCCCTGGTAGTGCACAGCCTCTTGACTGCATAAATCCACCACTTTCCAAAGAGGTTTGGAAGAAGATTGGTCCTTGGGGTGTTTTGGAGATCTGGGACCTGGGAAGGGAGGTGCTCAGTTGGAAAAACACCACATGGTCCTTCCAGAACACTGCATCAGGGTCAGGATGATCCTCCTTGCATCTCCCCACCACGTGGTGGGTCTGTCCCAGTGCCGTAGTCTTCCTCCCGGAGGAGAGAGTTGGAAAGTTGAGATGAGGAGGCAACCCCATGAAGCCAAAGGGGAAAAGACAGGTCCCTTCTCTTCCTAAGAGCTCTCCCACCAGTGTCCCTCCAGAAGGGCTCGTTCCTTGGAGATGAAGCCCTGGAAGAAATTTTGGGACCTCCAAAAATTTTCGTGGAGGAGTCAGCAGGTGGCACTCTTCACTGTGCTTCATGCCTGTGACAGCTCCGAGAGACCCTGGGCTCGCCGGTGAGGTCCTGCCCACACTTACCACTTGCCCCAACCCGGGTGGTTGACCCCAGCAGCCTCCATCCTCTGAAGCCTGGTCCCCCATGGCACCTCCTGGGTGGGATGGCTCCAATGCCCGCGTGTCCGCTGCTGCCAGATGTGCTGCCAGAGGACCATGTTCCTCAAGACAGCGGGGACACCGGTTTCCGAGGTGGTGAAACGTGTTGAGCTCCACCAATCCTTGGGTGTACAAAGACGAGGATTATTTATTTCCACTATCAACTCTTTCCTCTCTCCTCCAGCTTGTGTTTACAACGGGAAGACCTATTCCCATGGGGAAGTGTGGCACCCTGTCTTCCGGCTCTACGGCCTCCTGCCCTGCATCCTCTGCACTTGCAGAGATGGTGTCCAGGACTGTCAGAAGATCACATGCCCCAAGGAGTATCCATGTGACTATCCAGAGAAAGTTGATGGGAAATGCTGTAAAATATGTCCAGGTAGGTGAGATCCCACCTGCTCCTGCAGCTGCCTTCCAGTTCCTTCCTTTAGCCTTGGTTTAAAGTCCCGGTGAGAGAGACGTGTAGGGGTTCCCATCACTGGTGACTCGAATTCACACCCGGTGAGATCAGCAGGGCAAGCACTGACGTGAGGGTTGGCCTGTCTTGGAGGGCAGCAGGACTGACCCAAGGTGAGGAAGTTACACCGATCCCCAAAGGTTGCTTCTGTTGGGTGGGTGTAGTCTGGAGAAAGATGCCCAAGGAGAGACATTCCAAGAGTCTTCAGATGGGTAGGAGAAGCTTTCTGGGGAGAGGGCACTGTCTGTTCTCCCCAACTCCAGCTGGGACAAGAAGTGGTAGGTTTCAATGGTGGCAGCTGAAATGTGGGTTTGAAATTAGGACAACGCTTTCTGGGTACACGCACGCTTTGCTTTGAACTCGAGTTGAGGTCCCTATCCCTGGATAGGGGATGGTTAGGCACACAGTCATAGAATCATAGAATGGTTTGAGTTGGAAGGGACCTTAAAGATCATCTAGTTCCAACCCCCCTGCCATGGGCAGGGACACCTCCAGGTTGCTCCAAGCCTCATCCAGCCTGGCCTTGGACAATTCCAGGGATGGAGCATCCACAGCTTCTCTGGGCAACCTGTCCCAGTGTTCCCACCCTTTGCGGGAAGAATTCCTTCCTGATATCTAATCTAAACCTCCCCGCTTTCAATTTAAACCCATTACCCCTTGTCCTGTCACTTCCTGCCCTTGTAAAAAGTCCCCCCCCAGCTTTCCTGTAGCCCCAGGCACTGGAAGGGGCTCTAAGGTCTCCCCGGAGCCTCCTCTTCTCCAGGCTGAACAAGCCCAATTCTTGCAGCCTTTCAACTATTGGTCCAAGTAGAACTGGGCTGGTTCTGGGACATGGTGGAGAGGACCTCTGTTGCTTTTTTTTTTTTAATGTTCAATGAGTTTTGGGTCTCTCAGCTACTTCCTGGTCTTTGGAAAGCTGTTTACCTTAAACCACAGACCTGGCAAAGAGGTGGCAGGGCAGGAGCTCTTCTCCTGTTCCCACTGGAGAATATTTTCTAGGTTATACCTCTCTGTACTATTATTCAGCAGATGTTTAGGTGATGGACCATCCGCTGCTTCCTTAGAGAGACTAAAGATCTGCAGATGCAGCAGTTGCTGGGTGATCTCTGGTGTGCAACTTCAAGGTGGTTTCGTGGCGGGGTCTCACCAGGAACAACAAGCAAGGGGCACTGCCATATTTAAGAACAGGCTGCAAAATAATTTCAGCTGGGATTTTCAAGGTTTTCCAGCCTCTGAGCAGAGAGGTTCTGGGATGGCCTCCCCAGGGGACCGAAGGGCAGAAGCTCAGCTTGTTTTAATAAGGTTTCTGATATGTTTATGAGCAGGATTTATGATGTGGTGCCTGGTGGGAATGGGATGTGATGACTGCGCAGAGCCCTTCCAGTCTTGTATTCCCATTATAGCAGGTCTTTCTGGTTTAAAGTCTACAACTTTGTCTGCTGGGATCTCGTCTGCTGTTCAGTCTTCATTTATTTCCAGTTAAACACTCTGACCCAGCCAAAATGATTTTCTTCTTGCTTTCCAGTACTCACAGATAGCAATCGCACACACAGACGTCGCTCAGCCAAGCCACATGCTTGTCCTTTGCTTCACTGCTCAGGGGTTTTGCCCATATTCTTTCCCAGGCAGTTTCCATGACCGTCCTTCTCATCCTCCTTTGTACCCAGTAGCTTGGAGAGAAACAGGGGGTGATTTCTGTTTGCAAAAGGGATCTCTGGAATGTGTTGGTTGGATGGGGAGAGCACCGTGGTTACTGGGGGCAGAGCTAGCAGATGGGACCCCTGGATGCCCCCTCCTCCTCCCCAATGCTGTTAGCCGTAGTGTGGCTCCAGCGTGAAGCTCCGAGGTTGTTAAAAACCTGTTGTACCTGTGAGGACGTGTGTTTCCTTCTCTGTTGTGAAGTTGGGGCTTCCTCGGTCGATGAAAAGAGCAGCCCGGGAGTGGGTGAAGTTTAATGACCTGGGATAGAGGTTTTCTGCAGCCGGACCCCACAGTGGCAGGGATAAGGGTGGTGGTTGTCCCCCTTCATGCCTCACTGAGCCTGCAGAACTGAACGCTTGTCTTCCCGTTGCTGAAAAAGCCCTGCTTTGCATCCCTTTAAACTGGGATTTCCATCCCCTCTCTGAGAAGAGTAGCTCAGGACCACTGCTGAAAGCACAGGAGAGAGCAGAATCAGGCCTAAAATAACTGTCCTACTAAAATAAACCCCACGCGTCTATTTATAGCCAAACTTTCTTTCGAGTAGTGTAAAAAGCTTCAGCATCCAAAATGACTGGGAGAACAAGGCTAAATTCAGCAGAGCTGGGCTCCTCTGCGTTCCAAGGACCACAACCAAAGGCAATAAATCTCTTTCCAAAACCATGAGGGATTCTTAATTACTCCAGATACATTAAAAAAAAAAATTAAAAAATTAGCAGCTCTCCTTTACCAAAGATGTCGAAAAAAGTCACGTAGGGTCCTGCCCATGCCCCTGGTGGGGGTCTGTCTGCCACTGCATCCCACGTGGAGAGGTGGCTCGGGCTGGGACTGAGCCCACCCGCGGGGCTGAGCCGGGCACGCTGCCCAGCACTGCAGCCACGGCGCTGGCTCCCGTGCTGCGGGCTCATCCCTTCGCTTCGCTGACGTTGCTCCTCTGGGATGGCAGTGGGAAACCGGGAATTCAGCCTGGGCTTTGGAGTGATGATGGCACCAAGGTCCCTGCAGCGGGTATGGGGAATCCAGGTGGAGAAGATCCCCCTTCCCTATCCCCGCCAGCACAGGGGCTGCCAAAATCAAGGGGAATGGAAAATATGGGGATGAGCAGGTCCACAGACCCTTTACCAACATCTCTCTCTGCTGCTGATCTCGGCGCTGGAGATCAGACCCTGGGAGCCAAGGTCCCATTCAGAGATGCGGCTGTGCCACTTCCCATCAAACCCAGGGAGATGCCTTCCCCTTGACCTGCGTGCTGAGGCAGCCTCCTCCAAGCTCCTCTCTGCACCTATTTAACGAACTCTGTCTTTATTTTTGCCCAGAAACCAGCGTCAAACCCACCGATGAAATAATCACCACCCGGTGTGGCAAGAACCCCAACCGCGTCCTGGTGTACATGTTCGTGCCGCCGAGCTCGGAGACCTCCAAGGAGATCCTCAGGACGATCGCAATAGAGAAGGAGCCTGCAGAAGAGGTGGAAATCTACAACTGGAAGCTGATTAAAGGTGAGTCCCGTAACAAAACCAGCCAGCAACGGAGGAGGCGTGTGTGGAATCCTGGTGCTTTCCAAGCTTTGTTCAACTTTTCAGGCTTTTCTAGTGGTGAAAAGACGGGGTGTGGTGAGTCAAAACCTGATGACAGCAGGTTGGCTTTCCTCACTCCCCCCTTTCGCACTCTTTCACTGCAGTTTCATGCAGACCAGGGGCTGGAAACCACTTTTGGCCCCAGTGTACCCCGCCATGAGCTGCCACACCATCCAGAGGCACAGCACGTGGGCAAACAAGGCGAGGGCCATGGGGCTGTCCCTCCAAACCTGCCTGCTTCCGTGCCAAACGCACACGGAAAACAAAACAAAAAGTTGTGCTGGTCATTCCGTATTTTTGCTTTTGCTCTTTTTTCCCCCCAGTCCATCCATCACTGGGACCAAAACGTGCAGAGCTGCTGCACACAGTGGGGAGATGAATTGCCCCCAGCCTATTTTTTGGATGGGTGGATTTGGATGCTTTTGGTATGTTTTCCAGAGGTCAAAGCACAGCAAATACATCATTGAACGACACCAATCTCTTGCTCTGTCCCTTTAGCTTTGCAACACTCTTTTGGACCAGAGGAGCCTCTCTCTAGCAGGGACTCTTGGTCTAGTAGACGTTAGTGTTGTGCTTCTCTTGGATCTGGGAAAGCATCGCAGTGCCCCAACCCCAAATCTCCATTGGATATACTCTACCCCTTGGAAAAACTCATGCCTTGACCATTTGAGGTTGGTTGCACCATTGTGATGGATACAGCAACCCTCAGCCCTGTAGTAGGGTGTCTTCTGGACATGTGTAGGCAGATATTCCGGTCTCCTGGACATGTTTGTGTCTCACCTCTCTCCCTAAGGCTCTTCCCAGCTGCCAAGGGTGGGCACACGTGGATAGCATCTGGAGAAATTAAGTCCAGAGACGGAGCCCTGGCTGCCACCATATTTCCATCCTCCCCTGCCATCCTCCACAGTGCCCCTCTCCCTGTCTTCCCCCCCACCTCAGCAAAGCCTCCTTCACAATGGCACCTTGTAGCTGGAGGACAGCTCTGAGCCTGCACTGTCTGGGCCCCACCATTTCCTCTCCTCGCTCCTTGGCAGAGGTCGCCACCCAAACCTTCTCGCCACCTTCTGAGGCCAAAAGCTTCACGTCTGCACGGAGCTCCCGAGCTCTGCCAGCCAAGGACAGGGGAGGCCCTTGTCCCTGAGGCCAACACAGCTCTTTTGCTTGGCAGAGCGAAGTGTTACTATTGGGAAAGAGCATGAGCTCAGTCACATATGGATTCCACCTCTCCATGGTCCATCACTGCACCAACAGAGCAGCGTGTGTGGAGAAAAGAGGCTGCAAGTCACGCCTGGAGCCCGTCCATCTTCCTTTGTATGGGACTGTGATACCTACGTGGCCTCATCTATTTCTGTGCTGGGACGGTTTCCTCCACGAGGCAGGAGTTGGGAGGAGAAACCAGCGCCAACATCCAGCCAGAAGCTTTACCCAGCTTGCTGGTGGTGCACGACCAGCCCCCAGATGACTCGCAGTGGGGGTTTCCCCATGTTTTTAGGGGTCTGAACACTTCAGGGGTTTTGAAAAGTGACTTCCCAATGTTTTAGAGCAGGAATTATCATGGGGAGTGAGGACAACAGAGGAATGGGCAGGATCAGAGAGGGGCCAGCACGGTTTGGAGTCTGTCATTGACTCCTGCCTTGCTGGAGGCCTGGGCTGTATTGGAGGTGTGGTCTCCCCATGGACCTCTTTCCCACATTTACCCTGCCAGGTTCTTGGTGAGACATTGATCAAAATATTCCTTTCTATCCTGAAAACTCTCAGCTCTGGGACGTCCAGTGATCCCCAGTGTTTCTCCATGCTGGTACACCCCCACACCTGGGATGGAGGAGACTTGCAGGGTCTGGACCAGCCATCCCTACACTCTTCTGGCATTTGCTTGAAGATCTCCTGCCACGGAGACTCTTCAGCTCTTCCAGATCCACATACCCCTTCCTAAGGGAAGACCTTTTCCCATGTGCAGCTCGAGCTTGTGCTTTCTCGTCCTCTCCACTGCGGGTGTGAAGAGCAGACTCCTTTCCTCTAAACATGCCATCAGCTCCCACCTCTGTCCTCTCTTATTCAGTTTAAACAGTTGATTATTTTCAGTTTTTCCTTGATGGTAGAAATTTCTGGTCCTTTGGTCCTTCCCGTCGCTCTTCTCTGGACTCTCTCTGTGCCTTTCTTGAAATGCAGAGCCCAAAACACGGTACAGGGCTCTGGTCAAAGGTTGTGTCCTGCTGAGATTGGTCACATACCCCCATGTGTATCCCTGCTTCCGTCTCCGTCCACCCACCAAGGTTTTGTTTTGCAGATGATTTAGCAAGTTCTGAGACCAGTTTCTTGAACTAGACTTGCTTCACTCCCCGGCCCAGAGTTAAGTACCACGTTTAAAGGGTGATGTTGGTTCCCCACATAGTCAGCACAGAGAAGAGGTTACGATATGTCCCGTCCACTCATTTTAGGACGGGCAGAATGGCACTGTGGAAAAGCCTGTCTCTCCCTTGTCTGCCCAAAATTAGGAAAGATTAATTGTGCCGTCGGAGATGGGGCTGGTCCTTAATTCATTCCTTCTGATCTACTGGTCTCTGCTTGTTTTTTGGTCCTGAGGCAGTGCCTAAAGCATAAATTCATAGAATCATGGAATGGTTTGGGTTGGACGGGATCTTAAAGACACCTTGGACAGGTGTCCCATGGGCAGGGACACCTTCCATAGACCAGGTTACTCCAAGCCTCATCCAGCCTGGCCTTGGACACTCCCAGGGATGGGGCATCCACAGCTTCTCTGGGAAACCTGTCCCAGTGATTTCCACCCTCTGAAGGAAGAATTCCTTCCTGATGTCCCATCTCCATCTCCCTCTTTCCATTTAAACCCGTCACCCCTTGTCCTGTCACTCCCTGCACTTGGAAAAAGTCTGTCCCCATCTTTCTTCTAAGTCCTCTGTAAAGCTCCAAGGTGGTAAGTGCTGGAAAACCCCACCACCTCCCTCCATCTCATCCTAAACTTTGCAAAGAACCATCCTGCCTGTTGGGAAATGGCATCACCGGCGCCACCCCATAATGCCTCTTCGGCGGATGGCGGCGGGCTATTCTTATCTGCTCCGCCCCGTGCTCTCCTTGTGCGTGCTGGAGCATCGTCTGCATTCCTCCGCTGCTCCCCAGCTCCTGGCATGTGTCACAACCCACCGTCCGGGGGGGCAAAGGTCTCAGTCAGCCCTCCGAGGGCTCTTGGGTGAGCATTATCTAGGTCGGTTGATTAAAAGATGTTTATCTCTTGTAGCTCTTGTTTAAAATATCCTCTTGGTTACTAATGTACTGGAAAGTGCTTCATCGGCCACGGGGACTATAAGCACACCCTCCTGCTCCTTTCTAAGTATAGACCAGAAGGATTTATTGAACACTTGTGCCTTCCTTGCGTCATTAACAGTTTTATTATCTCCATCCAGTATCTTCTTTTGTTACTGGTAGGACTTCTTTTCCTGACCCACTTACAGGACTTATTAATAGTCCAAATCTCCACATATTTCTCCAGAAGTCTTTGACTTCCTGTGTTAGTTATCCACAGTCCATAACATCTCATTTATATGGATTGCCGGTCGGTTCCCTTGCCTTAAATACTCTTTTTATGTGTAATTGCTGCTGGGAATCAGGGAAAGTCTCTTAACCAAATAAGGGGGACCACGTTGCCTCTCCCATCTGCCGGCAGCGAGAGGCTGGATGCACGCGGAGCCTGGGTGAGAGGTGGGGAAGGATTTACCAGGCATACCTGCCTGGTTTGTCACGCTTCGCAGGCAAATAGGAATACCGTAATCCCTAATCCTGCAGAAAGGTCGCTTCCGTTGCTAAATGCGGGTTCTGGTTTTCTTGGGTCGAACGTCTGAGTCAGGCACCTCCGCTAACGGGACGATGCTGGCACAGGCAGAAATATCAATCTCTGCTGAGGTCATTCCTGGGTTTTTTCTGTCCTGGAGGAGTTTCAGGTCTGGGGGCAGAGGGATGGAAAACTTTGGTTCCTGTCTGCTTCCAGGAAAGGAAAGCATCTGAGGATGGAGGGGCTTTGGCAGTCGGGGAAGGTAGGGGGTCAAGAGTGAGCAGAGAGGATGGGGATCCCGGGATCCAGTTGGACTCACCTTTATTTCTCTTACGGTTTTGGGGGAGATCAGACCTCCCCTAGTGTGAGACACTTTTCAGGGCAACAACAACCTTATTGCTTTCACCTGCTTCGTGGTGTTGTCCCTGCTGTGTTCGATTTAACGAGCAGTTACTGTTTTCCAATGAGATTTCTCCTGGTCCTTGGCCAGCCCTGGATTCACTCCCAAACTCCCACCGGGCTTGGGTAGTAGGTCTCTCACTGAACCAGGACCCTGGGGCGCAGCCTGTATCCCCTTTGCATTTCAGGAGGGGACGGAGAGGTGTGCATCCCACCGGGCTGAGCCTTAAAGTGAGCCTGATGCCCTTTGTTTCCCTCCGCAGGGATATTTCATCTGATACAGACCAAGAAGATCAGCAAACGGGAATTCAAGCAAGAAGCTCAGAACTTCAGGCTGATCACCAGGACGAACGAAGGTAGGGAGGAGAAAAAATATCCCATTTTCCCCGCTCCCCCGGCAGACCCTGCCCCAAACAACCCTGTGTTTTGCTGTATAAATCCCGGCACGGCGCGGGGCGATCCGTACGGAGAAAGTTTGTGCAAACACAAGCCGGGTCAGGGCTGACCTGTCTTCACACGCATATGCAACGCTCCTGGTTAACAGTCACATTTTCACTTTATGGCATCGGAAAGGGCAGCCAGCTTTCTAAAAGTGGATGCACGCTTGTGAAATCCAAAGGCTTTGTCTCTCCAAAGCCCGTAAAACTGTTTGATTTTTATATTTAATCCATCTGGCGTTATGGGGGATGAGAAAAAAAGAAAAAAAAATGATGCAAGGGATTTGCAAAAAAATAAACTCTTGAAATATTTTTAAAAATCATTCTTAATGTTCTTGG